AATGTCACATATTGCGCGTGACATTTGCATGTAGCACATATGGGCTAAAAGTAGATCACGTACTTGATTATAACAAACAAAGAAAGCTTGTAACTAGTTAAGACTAAGTTTAGCGGTTACAACCGCAACATTCTTGTATTTCCTTGTGTATATAAGACATTGTTGTAAGAGGTTAACGAATTAGAACGAATTAGAACGAATTAGAACGAATTAGAACGAATTAGAACGTATCAGAACGGAACGGAATTGTAAAGAACTGTGAATCTACGAATAAACGCATTTTATAGCTTGGAAATATACAGTCCTCATTTGATTGTGAACCAGCATCGGGAGTAATCTCGGACAATAGTTACATACCTGGAAATTAGGTCGATTCGACGGAACACGGCAGTTTTTCATCTCGGCAATTTTCGTTTATAACGTCTAGATATCTGTTGGTGGATCGTACAAGTGGAAGTATACCGCAATGCGTGCATTTACAATTTCGAAAGGGCACAATGGAAATCGAAATTGGGGATAGAATATCAATTAATTGATTAGGGAATTCCCCGATAAACTGCTGCGTCACGGGCTTCTAAAACACGAAATCAGGACAAATGCGTGCCTCGGTTGTTAGAATCGCGTGAGTGGTGTATTTCTATCTTGGTTCTAAAAGGGTGGGGGCCGGGGGACGGAGAAATTTTGCATTTGTTACTGGCTGCCAGTCCATCTATTCATCATCACATGAAGGCAAAAAGGTTTCAGGGTGTAGTTTGATAAGTTCAAAGTGGGTTAGTGCTCTTAACAACGATATTCGTCATCATAGTGGTCAAATGTTGTGAACTCGCAAAGTGCAGCCGAGTAAGTTCTTAACAAACTTTTACCACTGTTATATATGAAAAACATCGTTGTCGAGAAGAGTACAGACCACGCGACACTGCTGTATTTCGTCGCCAAGCCACTGTATTTTGTCGAAAGAAGCGTAAGGGTCTCTCGAAGAGACAGACCTGAGGGCGACCCAGGCTTTTTATTTCTCATCAAACCTCCCAAGTGCATCCAATACTTAATTCTTGGTGTTCACGTGACGTCATCAAAACCAAAAGTAAGGAATTTTCGATCCTTATATTTCAGTTTAGTTAGTTAATAGAACAGTTGAAGAAATTATATTTTTTTTAACAAATTTCAGTTTGATCGGGTCTTTCGTCTTGTGATATAGTAATGCTGAATTTCTAAGCCTTTGCGTGACACGATCTTGACATGCTGTCGCGTAGGTT